CACAAAAATACGGACAGTGAACCTCCACTAACCAATCAAAGTAAAAAAGCGGTGCGGAAGTTATCTATTTCGTCTCAAAAAGTGAGTAAGATCGACATTTGAGAAACGGTAATAACAATATAACCGTTCGGCTGTAACACCTTTTTGGTGACCAGCTGCTAAACGAACATTACAACAACTGTGAAATAAGAAATGTGGTTCGGACGAAGAAATCGAAACAGTTATGAAAGCTTTGTGGGGGGGTGGTTGGCAGCGCGACATACAAAGGGTTGAGGCGTTGGAAATACCTTGATTTATCATGCTTATCAAGTTTCGTGTAAGTCACACTGAACTGTATATCTTATCTGATGACTCAGAAGTCGGTTACCGATGCGTTATTGACGTATGTTGCATACGTAGTTTCGGGATGATATGCTGTAATTTCCTGGTCGATAAATCCCGTGTTTCTCCAATAAATCCTGCTACTATACCGTGACTGGAATCACAAGCTGCCGTCTTGTCGGAGGGTTAAAGCGCCACGTCCTGAGGGAACTGAATTTGAAAATAGACAGTACTTACTTGTGGACCTATTCCACGGTCACGCTTCATTATATATATAATAGAAAGTCCAAATAGGGGACTTTTATTGCTGATAAGCTAGGATTAATTCACGAGAATACCACAGTATCCCAGTGGAGGTACGTGCCAACTCAAGACAGTCTAGCAGATCACGCATCGAGGGGAGTCCTTGTAGCCGCATGGTATCCCAGTGGAGGTACGTGCCAACTCAAGACAGTCTAGCAGATCACGCATCGAGGGGAGTCGCTAGTAGCCGCATGGACGTTCTAGACGTTTGGTTGCATGGCCCAGCCTTCCTGCAAAGCCCAGAGCACACGTGGCCGAATTGAATGTTAAGTGTCCTGTCGACGATATACCGGACCTCGAAGTCAAGGAGTCCAACGTTCCGAACACTAGTGTATTGGATGGATTTGCATTTGACAAACTGCTCTCCTACTAATCCTCATGGACTAGGCTGAAACAAGTCATAGTATGGATGATGCCATTCAAATCGTAGCTCCGCGTAAAGTCGAACAAAGAGAAAGAAGTGCTCTCATCTAGCTCTCCGTGGCTCGATTAATTGAGAGCAGCATAATATTCAAAACTGCAATACGTAAAGCAGCACGGCTTTCAGTAGTTATATAATTCCCTCACTCTATGAGACGTAAACTCTCTTCAGCGCTTATTGAAGGACTAATACGTGTCGGAGAGAGGCTGCAAAAAAGTGGTTTATCCCAAACCCGCAGACCCACCATAATTCGTAGTCGACATCCAGTGACACACCGATTGATTGAACACTATTATGAGTCAGAAGGTCACATGGGAACTCCACATGTTCCAGCTGTCACACATCCGAAATTTTGGATTGTCAAAGAGGCAGCCGCAGTAATAGGGATCGTGCGTAGGTGTTTGTCATGTAAGGCAATGAATTAGCAGTTCCTAAACCGGTGTAGTCCCACGATTTGAGTACTATAGATTGTTTCCACGTTGTGTTATGCCCCCCCCCCCCCCACAAAAAAAAGCCACATCGTTCAGATGTAGATTTAGCAACTAATGCGGTACTATGAATATAATAATAAAACAATGAAAGTGCACAAACCTCAAATGATGGGATACGCCGGCCTCTATACTAACTGCTAACTCCTAACGGGATCCCAAAATTCACACCGACTGGAGGCAAGGCGGCCACAAGATAGCAAAACCCACGTGCGATAACAAGGTCAAAGAGAGGTTTACGTTCAGATGGGTGCAAAACCGAGGCAACAAAAACAGATAATCACGTTGCACACAAAAAGAACAGAAGGAATCAAAACCATACCACCCAAAGGAAGCACGATGAATTAGAGGTTACTAGGTCGTCCAAGTTAAAAAGATACTCAGATGTTTGGCAAACACGTGTGACCCATACCAAACTTCGCAAGGAAGTATACCTCTGAACAAAAACTATCTGAGGACCGTCCGAGGCGACACTTGCAACCGAGAACTGAACAAGTGATTTTCGTCAAACAGAGAATGGATGTCAACTTCTGTGTGATGAAAGATAAGTTACAAAAACAACCCCGGTACGCAGCGAAATCGCAACAAATAGAAAACCTCCAAAACGGCAGTTCAGGTACATGCAACATGAACGAAAATATACACCTGGACCTCGCTGACTGACTCCCGCTCTACCGCCTAAGCTGTGAAGGAAGCTCGCTCTCCGCCACGCTCATCCACCCAGAATTTACCCATCACACCTCTGTCTAAAGGAAAAAGAGTTGACATCTGTCAGTACCGTTATTCAGACCTTTTGTAACCTGGAACTGTTCTTACAAAATCAAAACACCATCCTAAATGCACAGGCGGTAGTCGCTACTGAAAAATAGAGGCAGTCAAGCCTGGATAATCTGGTACTGTATCGGCCTTCTTAACACCAATGGACTGCACAAACATTGTGCATCGAAAGGGTGTCACAGCTGAAAGGTTTGCATTTTGCAACGGGTTTAGGTAATCCGACGTTTAAAAAATTCCTACATCGTGGTTACCATGGACCGGCATCTTTAAAAATACTCAAGTGTATTCGAGCTCCAAAAACACTAATTTCTTTCTAGATTTCTAGAAAGCTACATGTCACTCCTCAGAAGAATTGTGAAGCCATCCCCGTTCTCGTCAGAGCTCTATCTCTGGTAGATGAAACTGGATTACTTTTGACCAGTAATTGATAAATACCATGGGAACTCAAACCCGGAATTCGCAAAAGCACCGTAAAGATCAGCTGAAGTAAAAAGTGGAAAATTTGGTGGATAGATTACAGGAGCACTTCATGGTGTTACCCCGTCAATAAAGACTTTTTGCATTGAAACTTTCATAATTCACTCCACTATACTCTAAGTAAGCGGAGGACATTTCGACAGACGTTAGTTACTCCTGTTTCAGCGCTTACGTTAGTAGCGGTGATAGGATACTCAAGGATCTCAACCAGGTTTAGATCAGGTCACGTTGGTTGGATCAAAACGATCACCAAGGCAGAAGGAAGCCGACTTCTGTCTGGCCATAGAAACGATTGGCAGTTTTAGATGTCCCAATGACTGAATCCAGCACGGGACGCCCTACTAAGCGTGATCAATTGCTGACTTGCACATTTTTTTAAGGGGAGTAGGCGACAAATCCCAGTGCAAGAACAGTGGACATTAGATTCTGAATTAAATAATGAATTCGGTTCAAACGAATTCATATCCACCAACCGTTGAATCGAAACAAATTTTTTGTCACCTGGCATCAGTGGTGGGGTCGTATCAATATTAGTTACCAAACCAGACGCACATGCATGACAACCATAGAAAAAAGGAAGGATTCAGTAGACAGTAAAAAGGACCCAGTGGCAGAGCGCTAGTTTCCCAAATCTTAAACTACAAATATCAAATGGCTGTTCAGAATGCAGTGAGTAGACTCAGATACTGGACTAATCATTATTAGCACCTGTCATAACTACAAAGGAGACAGGACATCTGAGACGAAACATCTCGCTCTTTTCCTGAAGGTGTTGAAGGGGTCGGTCTTTAATACTGATCTGTATCTGACTGAGAACCTGTGAAGGGCACTAGCACTAGCGTAGGAATACGCAAAACTGATCGCACTAAAAATTATATTGCTAATTGCTGCGAATCAGCCATAAGGGGGAATTCCGTCAAAATGCTATCCACACGCTCATTAAAAACATAGCTGAGCGACTTATGCAGGCCTTGAGGCAGGACGACCAGATAAACATCAAAAACAATCTAGACGGCACACAACCATGAAGTGGTTACCTAGTTTCAGCGCGATTATTTTTGGTGCTTCTCAAACCAACTGATTGAAGTACTATTTTGGTAAATTTCTAGCTTCCTTTCCGATGAGACCTGTGCCATGCGGGCCACGGACCATTTAATTACACTCATGAGAAGTGGAGTTACTGAAAAAGACGTCGACAATCCTATGATTTTTGACACATTGAACAGCAATCAGAGCTCACCTTCGGAACAGTGACCCGATTTTCAGTGATCACCATTGACCAAGCAATGAGCAGAACGGTCAAAATTAGTGGAGAGGGTATCAGCACGTTTCACTAGCCGTCACTTTACACTACTGAATACACTTCAAGTAGTACGCCACCTTGTTATTGCAGCAGCACGCAGTTAATGGCTAAAGTTCTGGCGCGAGGTCAGTTTGTACTCAACAGAGGCGTAAAAAATAGACACGGTTTATCAGATATACCCAGTTTGGTCGTGTGCAACGTACAACTCTGTTTTAGTCATGCAATCAGCAGACAGTCCTGAATCGCGGCCGGGACAGGCCAGGTTAAAGAGGAAGAATGGGCTAAATATATCAGTCAAATAAGTTTCACAGACCTGATACAATGCTAAGTAGAAAGCCAATGAAAACTCTTCGACGGCCCACGACCAGTTTGAGTGTTCTCTGTAGTCATCAGATAGGCATAGCCTCAGGATTTTCATCAATCAAATTTCATAATTGAACACCAATCTGTACGTAAGCGGGGTTACATTTTGATTGGCAGAGGAACTTGGTGCTGGACCTCCGTTTGTTCTGATAGTTGTCTGAATTTGCTGGATCACGGTGGCCACAATCTGTGGCTGGAATGACACTCAGTACATCAAAGTATTTCCATGGCAAAATACTACCTTAAGGTTAATGGAACCCTTAGAGAGTCAACTACCGGTTTTTCCTTTCGTGTGGGTGTGCTTTGGAGTTGGTCCATAAAAAACGATTCGACACCTCAGATACCGTTCAAACTGAGACATCGTGCGGTGTTTCTGTTACACACTCAGTTGAAGATAACTATGAATGAGGAGTTCAGTTGTCATTTAGATGCCATAAATTTTGAAATTGATCTGAACAGAGAACACAATAATGGTTAAAAAAATGCGGACTGCCGACGTTCAATGGGGATAAACAACTCCACAATGAAATTCACCACCTCAACATACATTGTTTTCATCCAGATGGAATATACGGAGGATGAGATTCCACTTGAGAATACCTGAAATAAAAAAGAATAAGATGTTTAAACGCTTCTAAACCAGTTGTTTCTCAGGTTTAAGCTGCGTACCGATGGTAGCTGAGTCTTCTTTACCGAAAATGGTTACAAACTGGAAATAACAGCTGACAGTTCTACATAGTTGAATAAGTGATGGCTAACCACACTGCTTTTCAGCCGAACGAGGCCGAAACATTCATGTGTTCACTCACTGGCCTGAAGGTCGCAGGTTCGAAACTCCCTCAAGTTCCGAGATGCGTACTGTATACCAATAAGGATGAAACAACTGTACAGTGCGTCTCGGTTTTTCGACACAAACTGGCCTCACATCATCATCATCATCATCATCATCAATCATCATCAAAGACAGCAACATCAGTGTTGCCACTGATGCTTCACTGACAAGACGAAATCTCATTTGAACATTTGAATGAGTGTGATTTTGGACAGCTCACCAGCGAATTTAGTATTTTCAATGCCATATTTCATACAAGTAGCCTACAATCAGATGCTAAATCCGATGGCGAAAGATGTCACACTCATGTGTGTCTAGTGTCTGTCAAATATCCCAGAATCGTGAACTCGAACGTCAAATGAGTATCAGCAGTAACTATGATAAATCCACTTGTGTAGGTAGTAATCCATTTGGAATATACTCCATGCTACAAACCAGAACCACTCTTTGATTAACCTGCTAATGGGAATCTCATCTATCTTTTATTTTAGCAGATCGAAACTATGGGCAACGACGACGAAAACGCACCTCATGCTGACGTCGTCTTTATGGGAGCTGCCCGGGTGGGAAAAACAACCCTTGTGCATCGCATAATGTGCGTCGACAGTTCTCTTGCGCTAGAAGGCAGATACGCCCCTACTATTGAGGACTCGTATATACGACAGTTTTTGGCTGGTGAAACCAGCTGCCGTCTGCGACTGGTGGATACAGCCGGTGGTTATGAATTTCCTGCAATGGAGCGTTTGTGGATCAAAAGAGCATCCGCATTTGTACTGGTTTGCTCGAGAGATGACCCTTCTAGTCTCGCTCATTTGCGGAACCTGCTCAACCGCATCAAAAACGAACGCCAATGCGATCTCAAACGCCTTCTTTTGGTACTCGTCATGAATAAATGTGATCTTCATATGAAAGAATGGATGATCCCGGATGAAGACTTGGAATTGCTGGCTGATGAGTATGAGATACCATACAGATCTATTGTTTTCACCTCTGCTCTACATCAAACCGGGGTAGCACAAATACTCAAAATGCTGTGGGAACAGAATGAGGAATCCGGAACACGGGTGATTAAGTTTGAGCCAAGAACAAGTGCAGCCGAAATCAACCGACGTTCCAGTGCCTTCGCCGTCCTGTTTGGCAATGTACAAGCACGGGTAGCACAAAAAATGTCCCCAAATAACGCAGGGAGACCACATACTGGTTCGTTTGGCGATAATGTACTTCCCGCAACTAGACGCTTTCAATCAACATCGAGTACCTCTCCTAGCTGGGTTGTGAAAACCTTTGGCAGAATAAACCTGGGTGGGAAGACCAGGATGAAACAACGATATCCGCCGGCTGCAATCGATCTGAATTGTGCTATTTCCTAGCCTTTATGTATAACATGATAATATACTTTGCAAACCATGTGTTTCGGTTCAACAACAACTTTTTCACATATACATGATATTTCAACCACTAAAGCTTTTCCACAAAAGTTGTGACCAAATATAAACGGGCAGTCACTTGGCATTTTTCATGACAGCAAAACGATGACCGACTAAAACACCGAAGAGTAAGCAAGTAGTCATTTGATTACAATAGTTAACTCTGATTCAATTGAATAGGGTGCCTATTTCTACAACATGAGAGTCCGATTCAAAAGAATTGAGGCCAAGTAAAAGGAAGAGTTTCGAAATGATGTCTCAGAAATATGGAGAAGGGTATGAGTTTTTTATAGGTCTACTGGTCGGAAGGACGGAAATATCCAAGGAGTCGATTGTCACATCCGCATAAACGCGAGAAGCTAACCCTAGATGGAAGTACAGGTATAGTCACAAAGACAGAAATAAGTGGGACTGATTACTGAGGGGAAAATTGTTTCCTGGTTGTTTTATCAGGAGGAACGTTGGCCCGTGCTACGAGTTCAGACTCTGACTTAAGAGAGAAGAAGCTGTGAGAAGTTACAGTGGTACAACGAAACAAAGGTGGTACAACAACAACAAAGACGATCGACATCATACGTAAACCAATCGTTTGGAGTATTCTTTAATCACTGGGTCCCAAGTTCCCTGCTGAACACGATTAGCCTCACCTGTGGTTGATGTGAACACAAGTGTTATCACAGAGTTTGAGTTCGCAACATTACAGTTTGAATAGTCCTCCTCACGCGGTGCAAATATTCGGATAAGTTCTGGCCGAAGAGAAAAGAGCTTTTCATTTATTAAAGATAATCAGTAGTGTACGTTCTTGACACCACCGGAATTCGAAGCCCTGACAAATGGCATGCAAGGCGAGTGTGTCATCACTACTCCGCCAACGTCCCCCTTCTTACACTTTCATGTTTTACCTCTTCTACCCTACTCCATCCAAATTTGAAGTCTCCCCGCAGTTCCCAGCACCAAGAGTGACCACTTTGTTCGCAACACGCTCAGCTAAGGCTTTTGTGTCCGACTTCATTAACAACCCTAGACACTTTGTGTTTCGTTTCCAAACCCCGAAAGCCGGTCTACTTGGCTACCTTTAATGTTTGCACACTGAAGCATGCCGGATAACAAGTGGCCCTTGCTCGTACGCTGGATTTCCTCTCCATTGATGCATACCCTCTGTCGGAAACAAGGATACAGGACGCAAGTACTGTAATCAAACTGACTGCCACCTCCCCTTTTTCCAAGTTCCGACTGCGCAACTCTGGTGATGCGGAGGCCGCTGCACGTGTATATGTTGGTTGGTTATTGTATAAAGCGACCGAGTGGAAGCACCCCGACTTAATTGGATACCCAGTGACAGTTCCCGCAGTGCGGTTCGTTTGTGAACAGTTCTCGAGAAAGTGAAGTCCATCGTATCCTGTTTGTCTGCCTGCGCCTCAGCTGAGCGTGGGTCTGAATCTGCCAAAGAGAGATTCTATGAAATTCTACCTGCACCTCTATAACGGGCTAAAAATTCATACCTCGTTGTAGTGGCTGGTAACAGAAACGCTCACGCAGACAGGCTAGGCGCGACCGAGGTCTAATTGGGTGGTTGTCTTGGATTGGACAGGAGACGCACGGACAACGGCGATCGCCTGCTTCATATATATACCGATCACAGACTGTTCCTTTGAAATGTCAAATCCCGGAACACCGGAGATGGTTTGACAACAACAACAACCCTCGGGAATCAAGCGGGATTTTAACCGGGTGGATACTGCGCTGAACGCATCTTCACATTCCCTTAGGTGTTAGAGCAACGCCACATGTAGAGATCCTCCAAAATCTCGGTTTTCCTTGACTTCAAGGGTGCATTCGATTCTACCGACCGGTCAATGCTTTTAACCACACGCGCCACAGAATTTTGCGAACATAATCCTGTCCCTGTATCTACATATTTCTGTGTGTGTGATGAGCTCTCCAAAAGCATCCCTACAAAAGATTGTGTCCGGCAAGGTCAACTCCCTTCATTCTTGTTCAACTTCATCACTGATGAAATGATAATGAGGCAAATACTGGGTCTTTAAAAGTTTTGAACCACGGATCTTTCGGTATGTAAGCTGGCACATTAACCACCGAGCAATCTTGAGCTCTTCGCGTCCACCAGGCTATAGTAAGGGCTACATTGTTGTACGGTTGCGAGATGTGCGGATAGATGTGAGGCGTCCTCATGTTTTTTACCAACGATAATTCAGGAGCGTTTTTGGATTTGGATGGCGTCAACGTATTCGTACCACGGAGTTTAGAATATGTATACTTGATTGCACAGCGGGCATTTCAGTCGCCGAAGACATCCAGCACTAGCATGTGTTACGTATGCCGGAACACCATCGGGCAAGACGGGTGTTGTCCTCTGTGCCTGCTTCAGAATGGCACAAGCCATGAAGTGGACAACGTATGATATAGCAGAAGGGTGTGAAAGAGGCTAGGTAGAGTTTTGTGTTGTTGATGTGGTATGTCTTCCAGAGTGGGAGACACCTGCGCTTGGCTGGAAACATCGCAAGGAATGGCAGCTTATCGATGTCAATAGCGACTATGCTGGCAATTTCTTTCCAGAATGTCGGAGTAAACGTTTGGAAATGTATACATCTCATAATGATTGCGGTAGGTAAGCGCCAAATCTCCTCCGTCGGCCATCAGTTTCTCCTATTTTCACTCTAAGGCTTTGAATATAATTATATGAACGTTATGGCTGTACGAAGGTGAAACGTCAGTGTTAACACCGATACTGCTGTCCCTGACGTTCGATGCACCTGAATTTGCACGTTAGAACAGGTGAACGTGTTCATGCTTGAGTGATGGCTGGTTTGCCCAGACTCACAACTACCTTAATTAGGTTTCTAACTGGGTGAGATCGTCAGACAGTTACCGCCCATGCTTCAGCTTGGCGTGAAAATGTCACCAAGACGTGATGAAATTTATTTTCTGGAAGGAAGTAGAGTATACCTGTGCACACGTGGAGTTCTAGTCTAGGTTTCGGCAATCTGGAAGTATCACACTCCTCGTGCTTCCTTCGGGTGGCATGGTAGCTAGGTACAAAAGAAGCACTGCAGCTGAGCAATGTTCCATTCAAAAGCGAACTGATTTTATGACTCATCAGAGGGCGTATCACAGTAATAAAGAAGTATGGAAAAGTACTTGAAATGAAACATCGCAGAATCATTGAGCACGCCAAAAAATCTCAGTGATAACAACTACGAAGATATAATTCAGCATGGTCAGATTTAGTCAATTTTAATGACACATCGGAAGACGGAATGCCGGAAAGAAACATGACGATTCGAAAGCCCTAAAGGCGTTGTTAACAATGCGAGAGGAGTAGTCAAAGGCTATACCAACTAAGTTCACAGAAAGACCTAAGAAAATCACACAAAAAATGACAGACAAAATCGAAACATCCCAGTTCCATTTTCATGTTCGGCGATGAGCGGCGGATGTCAGCCACTGGTATGTGCAGCCGTCAAATCGGAATATTAAGGGTAGAAATCAGTATTCTAAAATAGAAGATGTGACGGCTGAAAAAGACGGTCACAGGTATTAAGCACAAAAAGGAAGATTTCATACAACGACTGGCTTATGGAAACATGCCGCCAAATGTTGCCATATTAGAAAGTGCCACTAACCCATGGTAAGGGTTGTCACCTGGTTCCTAATCCGACGGACGATACCAGCCAAGTTTGCTAGATGAAATGGTTATGCATTCAGAAGCTCAAGTCTACGTCATCAGCTGACTATCACACCATTTCCAGTTTGGTTTGAACTTAGTGCGGTAGTTGCCCTTTAAACATTAGAAAAAAACATGACAAGGACAACGAAGACTGTACCTTCAGAAGATTGGTTACAGAGCGTAAATTTAGTCCACTCATTGAAATTCGTTCACGTGTCCCTGTAAAGTGCCCACTGTCGAGGGGAGCCAGTAAGTATCAGAGAAACAGGTTGATTGCCAATAACATTAGAACACCGATAAAAGACCGACAGCATGAAGAAGAGTGTAGTTCAACTCGGGTAGTAAATAAATGCCCCGGTTTCCTTCACAAAGGATATGCATGTCAAACATATAAAGTTATTATACTTACATTTCACAAGAAAACGACCGGACGGATGTTGGTAATTATACAGGTTCTTCCGTAAAAGAGTCTACATTTGAGACCCGATCAAAGTGGTCCTTCCTGGGGGATCTTTCGGCGGAGGCCAATTAAACCAACAGGTTTGTGGTAACCATAAGTCAGTTGCTCGTTGTTTTGAGGGACCTGCCATGTCTGTTCATTAATTATATTCTCCCTATTTCAACCGGTTTGGAATACAATTCTGGTGCTCTGTGAGGTTACTAGGGCCCTAAAGGGAGGGGGTTTGTTTGAGGAATCTAATTACTTGAAGCATGTTATCACCGTCACCTTCCGGGATTGTGAAACCGTTCTTCTTTCACTGTTTAGCCATCGTTGGATGTTCGTCTGCTTGTCCTGAGACCTTCCGTCAGATAAATAGCATTACCTAAAACAATGCTGTAGCCCAAAAATTCCCCGAACAAACCAACTTTCGTGTATTGATCCACCGTCTCATGCCTGAGGTCGAACGCCATCCAACAGTGGAAGAATCAACTCTCATCTTGTTGGTAATGCTTTCAACAAAATGTATTCGATATCCAAAAACAGAAGAAACCATCCTGATTGTATTGTCAGGCTCACCTTAGCGGGATAACCTAGCTTATGATGGGGTAGGATTAGAGAGGATTCGCCTTAGGTTAGCAATCGTTAACAGCTATAGATTAGCTCAACAATGTCCGATGACGAATTTAGACTGAAATGAACGACCTTCACATCAGCTTTGATGGTAAGGAACATTTTATCTTATGAAGTATTTGTCAAAAACCCTGAATATGTCATCCAGGCCAACCGTTGCAAAACTGAGCTTCCATCGACTAACAGAGCTCAAAACACTTTTAGGTGTCCATAATGTTGGTTGGGGAACTGGACCAGAACTTGAAGGTCAAGTATGGTCGTAAAGCTTGTGAGTTGGTGAATCAAACATAAACCATGAGAGTACCCATTTGTGCGTAAGTCCAGCTGTCAAGTCCAGCAAATCGCAACAGGAATACACACCAGAGTTAGCCGGAGGTAGGCGGTACGCCAAAACTTGTTTTTGAACATTCCGGCTCCTTTATAGCTGAACATAATCCAATCACCATGTTACCTAATGTCCATACTTCTCTACTTGTGAAAAAATGGTGCTCGTCATATAGAAGCACGGCCGAAATGGGAAGATGTTTCGGTTCGTCCAAACAGTAGATCAAGACCAGGATAGAGCGGCCGTACTGATGAAGAGGGCCTTATCCAAAACGCCCGATCAATCAATCCATCAGCTATAAGCTATGTAACAATGGTACATTTGTTCCAGCTGCTGAGGTTTCGATCACCGGAAATCAGGGAGTATGTGGAACATAAACCCAAACATTAGAGCCGCGGCCGTGCTCAGCTAGTTCGGCAACTGGGCATCTGTGCATTGAAGATGATAGCTTTGATGCTAGAGCGACATGGACTGTGCGGTTGGGCTATTTCTGCCATTAATGAGCAGAGACCCCTGGGTACCCACTAAGGGAGACGGAAATTGTCGAACCGACTAAGTTTACTGATTGGCGTTTCTATACTTCGTCGCCAGGCCACAAATTGTTCACTTATGGGTCGCTTTTACCCACAACAGGGCTGAGTGAATAGGACTCTGCGAGGCAGACGGTCTTCTGGCATGCGCAGTGCATAGCCTAACCAACGCAACCTAAGAAGAGTGCGTATATCATCTCGGGGGTATTTCCTTCTTCCTAGGATCATATGGCGTAGCACTTCTAATCCGATATTCTCACCAGACCCGGTCACTGCTTCGGAGACACTGGCCTCTTTCGTATGTCCTCTGTGCGCAGAGGCCATATCCTTGATTCATAAAGCAGTATGGATCACACCGCCTCAGTGTAAACTCTGTCCCTGACAGACAAACTGGCCTCATGTCGGCACCATAGGTGTCGGGTGTTGGCAAAAGCTACCTCGGCCTGCCTGGTTCGAGGATTTCATCTTGTCAGTACAAAATCAATGCTCACCAAATGGGCAGCGTTTACATGAGGATTCTTGGAGGGTTTCGTCAAATGTGAAATCAACAAGTGGTTTACTTGTGAGGATTGTTTGAGAAAAACAGCAGGAGTGAAAGTAAGATGCAGAAGACCAAATCCACACAATAAGGAGTAAATCAGTAGGAGGGGGCGACACACGCGACAGCAGCGATTATGTCCATATGATAGCGGGCTCACCAGAGTAAAGCCGAAAACGTACAAGTGTTACAGTCGGTGAAGATAAAGTGGTTAAAAATTGGTGTGAAACTTGCTTACTTCTACGTAATCACTCTACACGCGCACAGAATTTTATTCAAAGTGCGGGTTACTGTTGAAACCAACGCTGACATTGTCAGGTCACGTCCACTGGTAATCAAATGAGCAGGGTTGTATGACAATTCAATGTCGGTTCCGGGTTTTTCAAAGCCCTGTTCGTGGAAGTCGCACAGCTCCAAACCTCGTGTGGCTCCAACAGCTGTAGTTTCGTCCACGAGCAGAGGGGGACAATAGAATAACAGTCACGTATGATAAGCAAAAGCTAATCAGTTGGTTGTTAAGTAGCCCTACTTATCTGGTGTTACTGTCAAAGCTGATAAGGAGGTCTGACAAGGCGTGAACTGAAATAGCTATAAATTGAAGACAGTGTACCGGAGCCCCCACGGGGGCAGACGGTAATTAAAAACGCGACTGAGTTTACCGGAAAAGGTTTGCATACTTCTTTGCCACAATATGTACTGGCTTGGCAAAGAAAGCGCTGAAAAGAATGTGACCCTCTGATATGCAGCGCAGATCACAAACTGAGGGCGACTAGACTATCGAGGGAGATTTATTCATTACTGATACGATGTTTCCATGAGATACTCATGATGGTTTGGAGATGCTGGCGACCAAAGCTCCAGCTCCAAAGCTCGAGAGAGCTGTGGTTAAGGCCCGAGCATACTGACCTGGAGGTCTGTGATTCGACCATAACCCCGGTATCCCGATTGCTCCCGTCTAGGTTTGGGCAGTCTGGCAGTATCTCAGTTCACACGTTTCCCTCGAGTGACACGGCGACTGAGCGCCGAAGGGACTGAATGTTTATTCTTCAAACACCTGCACCAGGTGGTCACGTGTCCGATGCATACCGTTAGACGGACTGAACATCGACAACCAACCAGATTAGAATTCGGTGAAAGTGTTGAAAACACCGCCTGGCCTTTCGAGTTTGAAAAATGCTTTCGTCCCTAATAAAACTATCATGACTTGTGTGGCTACTTAAATAAACACGCTTACAACCAGAGTGACCGGCTTATCTGCAAGCAGGACGATAAGTCTGATCCGAACCAGTCTTTCAGTATCACTTCATAGCCACGAGGGTATTCGCATTAACAAGTATTTCTGCCTCAAAATGATCGACATCGTCTACGGATGGAGGCCTCAGAACCATTTCGATCCCCGAGCTGTTAGGAGCGGGAAAAAAAGATCCATCGATCGCAAAATGGAAGAATAATTGTGATAGACATCTTTCCCTGAAACTGGTGGATGTGATAAACTCAAGAAAAAGTTCGCAGTAAACCTGGACGCGTTCACCGCAAGTAGCACAGTCTTTACAGCAGATTTGGAAGAAACTCTGTCGCCAGATACTGTCACAGCTTTATAAGACTCACTAAATCAAAGGCAGCCTTTAAATCAAGAAGAATAACCACCCTTGGTTGTTGCAATTGACGGCACAGTTCACAAGTAGCAACGTGAAAATATAGTTGTTAGAACCCCAACCGAAACATTAAATCATCCAGCTGTAGCACACTTTCGGTGCCTAGATGCCATGCCACATGAAAGAGGCACGAGGGCTGGGATACTGCCAGGCTGCCCAAGCCTAGACAGGGGAAGTCGAGAGGTAGAAGTCGGGTTCGAACCACTGAACTTCCAGTCAGTAAACTCGCGCTCTAACCACTTGGTCCATCTCGCTTCATTCTAACGAATTTGCCCCGCAATGATGGATCAATCCAACAACAACAGCAACAATCTCGAGTGTCCATTTTTAGATTGTAAGTAGAGTATCCAGTGGCTGCATGTCCGAAAGCGTGACCTTACATTTTTTGGTACAAATTCAAGCTAAAAGACTACTTTGGTCAGTTGATCCAAAAACAATTGCGTCTATCGCCGTTCAAAGACCGGAAAGTTTCGCGCACATTTTTCAGATCCATAAGATTTTCTAACTGGCTATCTGAACCCAAAGATTTTGAAGATCTTATGGTGTTGTGCGATCGTTTCAGTACTACGTCAGTCATGAAATCGAACACAAACGGAGGGATGCACATCCTTGTGGGACACTACTTTTGCAAGAAAGCTTTGGGACAGTCATTCCTTATTACCTCAAAAAACGGTAAATCTCAACACGCAGATAACTGACAACACCGGAGACCCATTTGCGCTTGGGTATATATGCAACTGACAGAATATGAACCAATCAGGAGCGTGCATGTGAAGGTCAGCGCCCTACTAATTGTTCCTTCGAGAGCCCCCCAGTTTCGGCGGAATTGGTTGGGTTTTCTTCCACTCGTTTCTGCACTCCAACTCCGAAAAGTAGTTGACGTATTATTTCTTCTACTCATAGATTCATGGAGTGATGCACAAGATCGAGGTTTCGTCCAGGTTCACCGAGTCGGGTTTGTCACGGATTCACGGATTCACGGATTGATACACAGGATCGAGGCTTTTGCCCAAGTTTCCCGGGTCGGTTTTGTTCTTGTCGGTCAGTGGCTGTCGTTCACCTGAAAGGCACAAGTGAAAA